TTTGAAAAATTTTACTTCCAAAATTTGTTTCTTTTCGTTGATTTTTTCAATTTCTCGATTTTTAATTATTTTGTTTTTTGATGTTTCAGTGTTACAATTTTTCGGTTTTTCAAAAGTTCAGTTTCAAAAATCGAAAATTTGAAAAATTTAATAACGAAGAATTGATTCGTTTGATCCATTTTTCAATTTCTCGATTTTTAATTGTTGCATTTTTCAATGTTTCGGTGTTACAGTTATTTCGGTTTTGCAAAATTTCATTCTGATTAAAATTGAAAATCAAGAACTTAAAAACTTTAACATTGAAAAATTGCAAAATTGATCCGTTTCCGATTTTTTGATGTTTCAATTTCGGGATTTTTTATTTTTTTGATTTTCATTTTGAAATTTTTGGATTTTTCATTTTAAAATTTTTGTATTCTTCATTGTTTCAGTGACACAATTTTCCGACTTTTTAGTATTTTAGTTTAGATAAATTTGTTCTTTTGCTGATAAATAAAAAAACACGAAATTGAAAAATTAAAAAACTAAAAGTTTAAAACTCAAAAAATTGTAAAATCCGAGAACTAACAAAGCAAAAATGTAAGCCTAATGAGATTGTTTGTGAAACGTTCCATTACTAAAAAAATTGAAGAAACTTGGAATAACTTGGTAACGTGACATCAAAATTTCGAAAAAAACTAAGAAGAGGACCATCAGAATTTATAAAAATATACCGAGTGTCTGGAAAATTGCGGATTAACTCCTGACTTGTGCATATAAGTAAGCGCGTAATGTTTTCAAATGTTGATCATTTTTTGTAAAGGTAGGCATTAGTACTTGCTAAGATAAAACTGATTTTGGCAAATAACATACAGTCTAAGAAAACAGAGGGTGGGTGGGCGGGGCGAGTTCCTGCTAAGTAAAACTGATTTTGGCAAATGACGTATCCTCTAAAAAATTTAATTAAATTATTATAAGAAAAGAGACTAGAGGCTCTAAAGCACTTTCACATTCTTTCCAAACAGGAATATCTAGAATTTCAAAATTGTTTTAAATTTCAAAAAAAGTACAGGGTCCCAAAATTAATTCAAAAACAGAGGTCAGGTCAGAATTGTGTATAAAAATAAAAACTAAAGTTATATAGTTATCACTTTATGGAACAATTTATTAAAATGCTCCATACTATATTAGTCAGATAGTTAGTGGTTTACAAGTGAGCACTAATGAACAGATGCAACAAAAATTAAGGTTAATCAGAGTTATGTTTTTTTTCAGTTAGAAAATACTGTTTTTTCTGAATTAATCAACTACTAAAAAAGAGCATTTTTTTGTAAAAGAATTCTCAAAATAATTTCTGCACATTTACTGTATTATTTTTGAATCTTGTTTTATGGACAGTTTATTAATAAGAAAATTTAAAAATTAATTGAATTAAATTAATTAAACACCTTGAATGGACAAATGATAGTTTTCTACAAAATACATTAATTTTATATAGTTTTCAACCTAACTTTTCTTGAATAAATAACAAATTAAAAAAAAAACTAAACCGAAATGCTTTAGCAGAAAATTTCCATATCACTGTAATCTTCTGAGCAATTGATTACTCGTCTAGTGGTATAGATACACTATTTTTCGAAATTTAAAAAACTACACACATTATAAAAATCACGAATAAAAGAATCAGATGTAGTATTTTTTGAAACAAATTTAATTGCAGCAATAGTCATTAAAACAATGCAAATCTGCAGAAAATTAATTTCTCATAAAAATTAGGTTAGACAAATTGAAAAAGTAGTGCAATTTGATTGGTTAAGAAATTTTGAGCGGAATTGTCGAGAAAAAACTTTTTCCGAGTTCGTTTCCATAAACTCTTGTGTTCAGCTAACTTACACACTTATCCAAAAAAGTTTCTGTTTATAACTTTTCCGGGAAAATCTTGATCGAATATTTCAAGTTGGAAAGAAAATGTAATAAATCGGGTCTTTGATACTTAACCTGCGTTTACGCAGTTTAAATTCGAAAAAGTTCGACCGAAAATTAATTAAATAAAATTAGTACGCACGTAATAATTAACACTGATGATGTAAAACGGAAATATTAATTATAATCTTGTGAAATAATTTATTGCAGTGTGCAATCTACTAATAAAACGTTCAATCAGAAGCCATGTATTAGTTTAATTGAATTATTTGTTTAGTAGTAAGTAAATGTAATTACTTAATTGGTTACCATTTTCGTTTATTAATTCGTCATTCTAAAACACTAAAATATTTTTTTTTAATAATGAGGATTTTCCAACACTGGCACTTTGATTTTAATTAAAGTTATATGAGCTTGTTTTGATGTACCTCGTCAGGTAGGACGATGCAGTAAGCATAATACGTGTGTAATCCTAACCACATCAAAACATTCATTTCAAAATGAGGCTCTAATGCAACATCAAAGAGGATATTTTTAACTTGCAATCAATACCACGAGCAAACAAATACCGAAAAATCCGAGCTAAATATTTAACGAACAAGAATCTCAAAGTTATTAAAAAACCAGAGATTTAAATGCAAGTTCAATGAATTAGTAACAACAAAATTCTGAACGCCGTTCCGATGTTATTGAAAAGACGAGTTTATAACTTATTCATCATCCAAACGTCTAATGTTACACATCCAGAATAAATTTTCTCCAGAAATAATCTTGACATATACCCCTTAAGCTATGTGAACCACGCCGCATTTTTGCCTGTTCCATATTTAATAATTTACATTTTAAACCTCGAGAATGAACGTCAATCCTCTTCCGGCTAAAATATTGATTCTGCAACAGTTTCCAAGAAAAATTTTCCAAAATACGGCCTCCCACAGTTTGCCCGATAAAATCATAGCTCGCGGAACATATCTCATGAATATTTAACCAGTTCACAACAAGATGGCTTCAATTAAGCGCTTTAGTAATGAATCTGTAATGATGTTAATGGTGTAAGATGGCCATCGAAAAACCTATGCGCTATTTTAAGAAAGTTCGCCGATATTGGTTGAAGAAGAGAAAAACGGTTATCTATATTCCACATCGAATATATATATCGTGTAACTACCGCTCGATTCTTTTTGACCCGGGTTGTTAGTGAGGGACTAACATTGAAAGTAAAATTGTCTAGACATTTGTAGTCTTTGTGATCCTTTCAGTTTCCCATCTTTCAAAAGAGGGTGTGCAAGAACAGGGAGTGATTAAAATGTATTAGAGTAAAGAATTACACTAATTTCGTTAAACGAATTTCGTTCTTTGAATTTATTTCGGTGGTTTGTGTGGGTGATAATGAAAACTTTATCACTTAATTAGGGCGGAATCGGTCGGTCTTTCAATGGTTCTGTATTGACGTTGGAAAAAATTGTGTAAGAATAAAATTTTAAAAAAGGGCATAGAAGATGACGACGAAATAAGTAAGCATTGCAAATTACAACTTAATTAATTCTGACACTCAAAAATGTTTTAATTTGTCAAGTTTTACCAGAAATAGAATAAGAAGGGTGGAAAACAGGGAAGTTTGTAATTTATTTTAAACAAAAAGTTTGAAGAGTGGTGTTCGTGGACGTTTCTACTGTGATGTAGTAGTTGGAATTTTTTTATTAAAATAAAATCATTTTGGTTATAAAAAAAATACTGTTCACTAAAAGACGAAAAGTTGCAACAACAAAAACCATTCCAGTGCAAATTAAATAAACCCTTCAAATTTTGTCCAAAAAAAAAAAACAAAATGCAATGATCTGTCTAAGTTATGCGCTGGACCTCTCATTAAAATTTCCGTTCGTGTTAAGCTAGCAACTCTTATTCTTACCTTAGGAATCTGAATTCAGATCACCAGACACTCGCTTTCGGATAGCTCACTAACAATGAGACGATGAACTATACACCGCTATATTTAAAGACTCTGCATTGTTTTTTATGTAAACATTTTGCTTAATTGATAAAATATTGATCTGGGGTTAAGACAACCCTTTGCCGTAAGTTCAAAACCGTAATCACCATTATTGGACAAAATTGTCGTTCAACTGTCGTCTTCTGGGTGGGTTTTTTATAACTTCATTAGGCGAGTAAGGCTAAAAATAATATCCATTAAATGCCACAACTTTCAAGAAAACAATGGTTATTTCTAGAATCGAAAATGGAATTAAATATATTTACTTGTTACATTTAGACAATAAAAAATATTTACTAATAAATAAAAAATTTAAAAATCGTGACCAGCCATCTCTGTCAATCGATAAATTATCTCAAACACCTACATTAAACTTTTATACGTATTATTATGGAAATTCTGCCTCGTAAGCACAATTTAGGACTGACGCGGCAAAACTTGGCTAAACCGCGTCATTGTCCTTTAACGGTGATTATACGGTACGTAAAATTGAACATTTTTTGTGGAAAGCTGGGCTGAATGAGCTAGATAAAACATAGGACGCGGAATCTCCTGACTAATGTCTTTGATACAAACTAGCAAAATAGAGAGTGATATAGAAGGTCTGGAAATCACTTTAGTCGTAACTCCCACGAGCGCTTGCACTCGAGTTACGCCCAGCTATCATATGTTTTTGTCAAAAGTTTGCAAAGTTCAAGCAAAATTTGGCGGAATCTCGTAGTAATCTTGTTAGGTGGGTGGAAGTTGCAGCTTTCGGTGTATTATCGATAACATTAGTGCAAAATGGTGCACTTTCAGGTCGGATGTAACGCAATTTTTAAAATTGTATCTAGTTTTAGGATTATTGTGGGTCACATACAAATGTCATAACTGTTAGACTAAATGTAAATGTATTAAGGCCAAAGATAGAACAGCATAAAGACGAATAAAATGAATTTTTGGTTTCACCATAATGACAATAGCTTTAACTTTTAAAAAAATATTGTTTCTGCAATACAGTATATATAATTTGAAACAGGTTCATTATAAGATTTTTCTATTTTCGAAAAATAAAATTCTCAATTTGAAAATGAAAATGATGTCGACTGATGCATACAAATATACATACTTTATTTTAGATTCTTTTTGCGAAATTTGTTGCTTGCACAGTGGTATTCTGAAACAATTTTAACAGATCAGTTGGAATGAAACATCCTGTACATATAATTTAAAATTAACAAATGGAGGCCAATGTAGTATATTTTAAATGAAATTTTCGTTTTTATCAAATTTATAAAATACATTATTTTTCCAAAATATTTAATATTTCTATATTATTTATTTGTAAATTATCCAATCCGAGCTGATCTAACCAGCCTGACTTAACCGCATAACAGCAGTTTTTTCTCTGTTTCCGCAATTTATTTTAAATAATAGTTCATTTATATCTAAAATGTTAAATCATTTTTAAAAATTTTTCAAAATTAGGGGCTTCTAGTTTACTTTTTTTTTTAAATTTAAATAACCATCTTTTCACACAAGAAACTTAGAACATGGTTAAAATTCTACATTTTTGCAAGGAAATATGAATTTTGCAATTATTGGGCGGAGCCTAATTGCAAAAACAATATTTCCTTACACAAATTCTCCATTTTAAACATGTTTTAAGTTTCATGTTGTGAAAAGAAGTTCACACATATTAAAACAAAAAGACAAAATGTAAGCCCGCCCACCCGCCCTCTCTCAATTGTGATGATTTTTTTTACTGGAAAATATTTATTTCTTTACAAGAAATTAAAAACATGTTTTTGAATATCGTGTTGTTCAAAGAATACTATGTGTATTAAGAAAAAAAGGCAAAATATAAGCCCCACCCACCCGCCCTATCTCAATTGTGATTATTTTTGTTATTCGTCGTGAGCCAAGGGGGCGGAGTTTAATTGCAAGATATTTGTTTCTTTACAAAAAATTACCATGTAAAACATCTTTCGTTATCGATGACATAGTAGGGGAGAGAGTGTTACATAGTCTTCTTTTCTCAAAATGATCTATTTTGAACAATATGATAATACTTAAAACATGTTTTGGTAAAAATTAATCACAACCAAAATAAGGGTGGATGGGTGGGGTACAGAAATAAGGATTTTGTTAATTAAACTCCGCTCCCGAGCTCAGAAGGAATAAAATCATTACAACTGAAATGGCGGTGAGTGGGTGGGGGTTAAATTTTGCCTTTTTTCTAGATATCTCTAATGATCTTTTGACTCCAAGATATTTAAAACGTTTAAAATGGCAAATTTTTATTTTGGAAAACATCGATTCTACAATTAAGCTCCACCCCTCGGTCTAACAATGAATGAAAAATTCATCACATTTGAGATTGGGGTGGGTGGGTGGGGTTTAATTTTTGGCTTTTTTTTCTTGACATATAGTTTTCTTTCAATATGATACTTAAAAACATTGCACATGGTAGCTTCTTGTAGAGAACTAAGGATTTTGCAATTAAGCTCCGCCTCTCGGCTCACGACTAATAAAAACAGTCGTCACAATTGAGAAAAGGGCGGGTGGGCAGGGTTTGTATTATGCTTTTTTTTTAATATGTGTACATAGTTTTCTTTTCACGACAGTAAATTGAAAACATGTTTAAAAGGGTAAATTTGTAGAGAACTGTGAGGGATAAAATTTACTTACCATTTTAAAGATGTTTCAGTTTTTTGTTGAGAAGGGAAGACTATGTAAAAAAAATTCTCCGTTATTTGAAAACTGGGAAAATTGTGGATAAGCCTATTTTATTTCAAAAATTAAAAACAAACTATTATATAAAACAATGGATTTAATAAGTAATTCTTGCCAATCTGGGTACCCCTAAGTAAATAAGAAAACCAGCACAATATAGTGCATTTTTATCCGTTATTTTAAAACATAGAGAGAAAATGGTAACGAATTCGTGCTTCTGAGAATGTTTTACATACTATGAGTAACACTATTTCTGACTGATTTGATTAATTTAATTTTTATTAAAAATGGTGGAGGCGCCGGGAGATTTTTGCATTTCTAAAATTTTTATTGAAACAATGTTCATGAATTGACATTATATATTTCTTTAAGTTTCTAGATATCCGAAATAAATAATTCGAACAGCACAGATTCAAACCAAGTTAAAAAATGAGAGATTCGTGATTCTGAGAAATTTTACCATAAATAATACTAATTCTGGCTGATTTGATTAATTCAAAATTTTTAGTTAAAACTGGTGGAGGCGCCGGGATTTTCTATTTTCATTTAAACAAATTTCATAAAAAATTAGTATATAACAATATATTTGAAAAAATATTAGGTGTCCGAAATATGAAATACGACCACTTAATTTGACTTGATAAAAAATAAATAGTTCTTTTCCGAACTGTTTGACCAAATTTCATTTTTTGCATTAAAATGTCATTTTTGCCGATTTTTCAAAACGTAGGGAGATAAATATCTCATTCATTTTAATTTGTTTAAAAAAAACATGTGGTGGAGGCGCCAGATGTTTCCTTTTATAAATTTTTAATTTCAAAGTTTATTTAAACCATAGATTTAAGACGAAATTATAAACTTCTTGACTACCTGGCAGCCCCAGTAATTAATGAAACCAACACAGACTTGAACAAAACAAGATATATATTTTTTCTCAACTGATTTGACCGAAGTTAATTTTTTGTAATAAAACAACAATTTCCCCGATGTGTCAAAACATAACGAGAAAATAATAACAGATTCATGAATCTGAGTATGTTTTACATATGAATACCGCTATTTTCGTCTGATTTGATTAATTTTTATTTTTTTTAATGGAGTTTTCTCTCTTTTAAAAATTTTATTCAAACAATGTTTATGAAAATTCAATATATAACAATAACCCCATTTCCAGCTGATTTGAGCAGCTTCAATTTTTCGATAAAAATTATGGAGACACGATAATAAAAAAAATATGCAAAAAATTTTATTTTACAAAGTACTTGAGCAAAGTAAAGTATATTCTAAAACCAACACCGACTTTAACCAAGATAAATATTTCATTTCCGAACTGATTTGATCAAATTTAATTAATACGTGATTTTTCCGATATTTCAAAACATAAAGAGAAAATAAAACGGATCCATGATTCCGAGAATATTTTACATATAAATTCTATAATTCTCCTTTAGTCTGCCTGAATCAATTTTAAACTTTTGTCGAAAAAGAAAATCGTGGTGCAGAGAAAATAATTACGAATTCACGATTCTGAGATTTTCGACCGATTCATCAATTTTAATTTTTAGAGAAAAATGGTGGAAGCGCCGGGAGATTTTTCATTTTCAGATTGTTGTTTAAACATTGTTCACGAAATTCAGAGTATTATACTAATATATTTGAGAAAAAATTATGTATTTCTTTAAGTATCTAGATACCCGAAATTAATTTTTTGCATTAAAGTGCATTTCTAACTTCTATTTGAAGTCATACACCGAAAATAAACACAAACTCATAATTCTGAAAAATTTTTACACAAAAATAAGCCAATTTCCAGCTGATTTCACCAGTCTAATTTTTCAATGAAACTTAGAAACACCTCAATAATAAAAAGTACAAAACCGTAGATGTGACAAGAACTTATAAACTTATTGATCATCTGGGTTCCTTAAGTAAATAAGAAAACCAGCACAGACTTGAACTATTTTTTTTACTATTTTAAATATTTTCGATAAACATGGTGGAGGCACATCGATAATAAAAACATGCAAAGAATTTAAATTGTTTAATTAATATGTGAAGTTTTCCGATATTTCAAAACATAGAGAGAAAATAATAACGGATTTCCAGAATATTTTACATTGGAATTCTATGATTCTATTTTAGTCTGACTGAATTGATTTTAAACTTTTTTAGAATTTTCAATAAAAATGGTGTAGGCGCCGGGAGATTTTTCATTTTAAAATTTTTTGCATTGAAATGCATTTTTCACCAATATTTGAAATCATAGACCTGAAATAAACACAAATTCATAATTCCCAAAAACTATATAATCCCACTTTCAGCTGATTTCATCAGTTTTAATTTTTCAATGAAAATTGTAAACACCTCAATTATAAAAAAGTATAAAACCAGATATTTGACAGGAACTTTCGATTTTTCGATAAAAATTATGAACACACGATAATAAAATACAAAGAATTTTATTTTACAAAGTTCTTGAGCAAAGTAATGTATATGCTAAAACCAACACCGACTTTAACCAAGATACATATTTCTTTTCCGAACTGATTTGATCAAATTTTTTTTTTTAATTAATACGTGATTTTTCCGAGAAAAACAGAGAAAAAATAAAAACGGATCCATGATTCCGAGAATACTTTACACACAAATGTATAATTCTACTTTAGTCTGGTTGAATTAGTTTTAAACTTTTTTCGAAAAAGAAAATCGTGGAAGCGCGACGAGATATTTTCTTTTTTTAAATTTCTATTTCAATTAAAAATTCAATTTCAATTTTATTTAAAGCATAAATTTGAACCAATGTAAATATTTTCTTGCGAACTCATTGAATATATAGCGAGAAAATAACTACGAATTCACTATTTTTTCGAGAAAACTGGTGGAGGTGCCAGGAGATTTTTTATTTCAGATTTTTGTTTAAACATTGTTCATGGAAATTCAGAGTATTATATCATTAACATATTTGAGAAGAAATTATGTATTTCTTTAAGTATCTACATATCTGAATAATACAACAGATTTGAATTAAATTTTGCGCATTTTTTGCATTAAAGTGCATTTTTAACCAATATTTGAAGTCATAGACCGGAAATAAACCCCAATTCATAATCCTGAAAAGCTTTTTCACAAAAATAACCCAATTTGTAGTTGATTTCACCAGCCTAATTTTTCGATAAAATTTTTAGAAACACCGCAATAATAAAAAAGTATAAAACCATAGATTTGACAAGAAGTTATAAACTTAATAGACTTGAACTCAGATAACTAATTTTTTTTTACGATTTTAAATTTTTTGATAAAAATGGTGAAGGTGCCGGAAGGTTTTTTACTTTTTTTTTGAAACAATATATGTATACTGAAGTTACCCAGTACAGATTTGAGATAGGTTTTGCGAATTAATTCGATTTCTCCATTATTTGAAGTCATAGTCGGAAATA